CCGGAGGACCAATCGAAGGCTCTTCCGATCCTCGTAAACACAAGGACTTGGGTCGAATGACCCGCTAAGATAGACCAAACACAAAAGTTTAAAGGTCTCCCATTAGCTTTCAAAGGACTTGAGGCTTTAAGTTTTTGCATGTTGCTGAGAGGTAAAATCCAAAGGGCCTATCGGTTCGCATCTCGTATAGGACCATGGCCCCGGAGATCACAGACTGAGGACAGATTTCTTCTTTCCCTGGGGCTAAACATCCTGGAAATACTCTGCTCGACGGCTGGCTCTTTATGTTTGAGCGTTTGCCGATTCCCTAAACCTTATAAACCCTTTTGCCACTGGACTCAAGTCTACAAACCCAAAACCCTATAAACCCTAAACCCTAAACCCTGCCCTTCTTCTGGCCAAGAGGGCCAGATTGGGTTGAGATATGGGAGTTTCCGAAATTCGGGGTACCTTATTTTGGGGACCATATAATAAGGATCCTACTATTTAGAGTACTATATTAGGGTCCCCTATTTTCGGAAACTCCCATATATAATTAGTAGGCAAGAGTCGCTCTCTTCAACAACGGCTCGTCGCAGAAGGCCCCAGACAATCTCAGCCGGCTGAGGCAGGCTTGTCCCGGAGTAAACCTTAGCGAAATGATCTGTTCTGTCACCATGTTGCCGACCAATGCGCTCAGCTTCTGTAGACTGTAGAGCAAGCTTGGGACCCCGTTTTCCTCCGAGCACATCTGCGCACCCACAGGGAGCCTATGTGCCGATCTGTCTGACTGCTATGCACAGGCATTTTGGCGGTTCATGCACTGGTGCATGCCGCTAGCCCCATGCATTTCTTCAGGCAAGGTTAAACATACTGCTTTGGAGGCGAGGCGGGCAACCATTCGCCAAAATCGATGTTTGAAAAGATGCGTCTGAACAAAACTACCCGCACCTCCGAGTTGCTCTTGGAACTATAAAGCAGCATGCCTTAACATGGCGAAAAGTGACGAGTTAGCATTTTTCATTTCTTCAGGGATGCACCCACCGCAGACGCCCTTGCACTTTAACTGACAAAGGCATCCGCAGAGGGATTTGCAACAAAAAACAAGCCGGATCACCAAAAGCAGCAGCAAAATTAGCTGCAAAACACTGCATGTAGACATGCTTGCTTTGGTAGGGTCATGCAGAATCAGTCTTTAAGCATCAGGAGCTGCCTTGGTGCTGTGCTCGCGTTGCGCTAGAGGTGGGCCCTGCTGGTTTTTGCCACAGCAAGGGCCACGGAGGGTGGTGCCGCAAGATGTACAAGCTGCTGGTACATCCTATGTTGTACGACAAAATGAGCTGGATATGGCAGGAGTGCCCTAGAAGGTTTCCACTGTAGCAGCACGTGCCTCGTCTTAAACTGCTGGGAGCCATTGAAAATGCTGAACGCGTCTCAAATCTTCTCACAAGCTAAGCCAAACAGATGTACTGCAGGTGCTCACGAAAGTGGTCGATGCCGTGCTTTGTGTCATCACCGAAGCATCTGGGGAGGAATCCTGGGTTCTCGTTAAGGAATAATAAGGGCTCCTTTAAGGGATCCATACGGGTTCCTTTAAGCGTTCTATAAGGGTTTAGGGGTTAAGGAGTTTAACAAGGATCTATGGCAAAAAATGTGGGCTTCCTAATTATGGTAACTTAAATAAAATCCCCTAACAAGAAGGAAACCAAATTTAAGTTACCCTAATGAGGTTCTATCATAAAAAATATGGATTTCCTAAGCCCAGAATCCTCTTGGTCCATTTTGGAGGGAAGCGTCCAGGAGTCCAAGGAGATCGGGATGTCATTTAGAAGGTTGACACTTGGGCGCCGCGAACTCGGGAAGTCCTTCGCATCCGGACAAGTACCTGGGCTCTTGTTAGCCTAAGGCTCCATGTACCCTTATAGTAGATACTTAGTCCTTAAAGTACCTATATAGGGACCCCTTTAAGGCTTCAGTATCTACTATAATGGTACATGGAGCCTTTGGGTTAGGGGATTTAACTTTTGAGTTACCATCATCGTTAGGAAACCATATTATTTCCTATAGATCCCGAGTATGGTGTAAGGGATAACAAGTTTGAGTTACCAAAATTAGGAAACCATGTTGTTCTTTGCTGTAGATCCCTAGTATTTTAAATTACCTAGAGGCTCCATAGTAATTCCTTTTTGGGGTTCGTATTTAGAATCCTATAAGGTAACCCCAAAACGGAACTACTATGGAGCCTGTGGGTACCGTTTAATTAAGGAATACACCTTAAATTTTAGTAGGACCCATATTACTTATTATAGATACCTCGTATTTTTAACTAGCACTAGATCAACAAGAGCCAAGATACCCAAGAGCTCCCGTGTGTCTAGCCCAGGTGGTGGACCTGGGCGCTTAAGTAACCAGGGAGAAAAAAATTAAAAACTCTTATTTCATAATGGTTCCTTCAAGAAAAAAGTATAAACTTTTATTTCATAAGGGTTCCTTTAATAAAAAGTATTCAAGTATGGTACTCCAAAGCCCAGGGACGGAAGGGCAAGGATGGTGAGGAGAGCATTGGGCCCTCCAGGCCCAAGGAGTCCATCACCTCCAGGAAAGTTCCGATTTCAAACTTTTTTGGTGGAAATTACGAGGTGCAGTTTAGGCGTTTAGGGTTTGAGGTTTACGCGTTTCGGGTTTAGGGTTCAGGGCTATACCCCCTTTTACACCCAAAAGTATTCTCTGGGACTTTATATGAACGAGAGCTGACAAACAACATGTCTAAGACTCTCTGGAGTTTTATATGAACGAAAACAGACAAAAAAATCCTATATAAACCCTAAACCCTATGCCCTGAACCCTAAAATCTAAACCCTAAGCCCTAAAACCTAAAACCTTTTAAACCCTAAGCCTTAAGCCCTAAACCCTAAAACCTAAACCCTAAGCCCTAAAGTCACGGTGTAGGACGGCATTGGCATCAAATTTGGCATCGGAAGATCAAGGCGCTGAGCCCCTGCGACCTTCTGAGGCTTAGCCTGGGATGCAGTTTGGGCTTTGGGTTTTGGGTTTGGGGTTTAGGGTATTATAGAGTTTAGGGGGTATTATAGAGTTTAGGGTTTAGGGTTTTGGGCTTTGGGTTCAGGGCATTATAGAGCTTAGGGTTTAGGGTTTTGGGCTTAAGGTTTAGGGTTGAGGGTTCAGGGTTTAGGGTATTAGGATTTAGGGTTTAGAGTTTAGGGTTGAGGCTTTTTGGTTTAGGGGGTAAGGGAAGTACCTGTGAATAGATTCCTCTACAGGAGCCATAAGGTAATTTAGGGTTTAGGGGGTAAGGGAAGTATTTATGAATAGATACCTCTATAGGAACCAAGGTTTCCAACAATGCCACCCAGTAGCATTCGTATGAACAAACCGGCAAGATTGACCTTTCGAGCAGAAGCCGTTCCTGGGCTTTTAAGTAACCAGGGAGCAAAAAAGTATGAACTTTTATTTCATACTGGTTCCCTTAAGAAAAAAGCATAAAAAGATGGTACTCCAAAGCTCAGTTATAGTACCCTTATAGAAATCCTTCTAGATCCCTGTAAGGAACCCTAAAAGGGACCCCAAAGGATGGTACTCCCAAGCCCAGGACATGTTCAAAACTCTAAACCCTTATAGAGCCATGTAAAAGGAACCCTGATAGTCAGAATACCCTTATACCCAGAGATCCCAATACCCCTTAATTAAGGAATATACCTTAAATCATAATATTAAGGCCTCTATCATTTAAGGTATGTTCCTTAATTAAGCGGTATTGGGATCTCTGGGTAGTACCCCTTTAAAGGAACCCAGAGATCTCCTAAAGCCCAGGTTCTTGGTGAACTCGAAGCATGGCTTTGGGCTGGGGCGCAACTCGACGTTGCCATGGGCGAACGTGCAATTCTCCCCCATCTTGCACTCGTTCCTGCAATATGGTAGTTTCCGAAAATAAGGGACCCTAATAGAGTACCCTAAATAGTAGGATCCTTATTATGGGGACCCCAAAATAAGGTACCCCTAATTGGAGGTTTATGATACTACTTTGAGGATCACGGGACTTAGTAGCTGGGGTTATTAATAAGGTAACTATATTTATAAGCACGTATAAGCCCACTGAAGGTACTTATAACCTGACTTACTAAGTCCCATGATCCTCCAAGTATGATAATTGAGGAACCCTAAAATGGTACAGTAGCTCTGCAGGTCCCCATAGTAAGCCCGTTGAGCCAAAATGAAACGGTTTCGGGTTGAGGCTACAGGGTTTGCTGTAGACTATGACAAGCAGAATGGAAAGCGATTTCTACGGAACGCCCAGATTCGTCCGCCAGAACTTGCACATGCGAGTGAACTGCACGGCTTTCTTCTGTTCGGCCTTGGTCATGATGATGTAAGATCCGAGGCTGCGTCTTCTGAGTAGTCTACGGAAGCTAGGTCAATCCTTGATGCCAGCGGCTGCAGAAGAAGCTAATTAAGTCGTGTTGTGCTGCGAATAGCGTGCAGAAAGCACATGAACAAACTGTTCGAAAGCTGACATCCCTTTTTGCTGCAGGCTTTCATGCAAGGACGCCCTAAACCCTAAACCATTCATTAACTCCTTCTAGGCCTAAGAGTAACCTAGGAATAAAGAGGGTGCCGTTTTTGGTTTAAAGAGGGTTATGAGGGAACCTGAACCAACAAAAAGGAATAAGGGCCTACTCTGGGTCCTAGCCTTCAAGCATGCTTAATTGGCAAATACAGGTCTGAACGGCTGAGTAAACTCAGCAGAACTCACCTTTTAGGGTTTGGGGTTTAGGGTTTGCCAGCATGCGAAGAAAAAGTAAACATCCCTACTTCCACTGGCACTGACAGCAAATCGTTGCGGGGTATCAGCTTCAACTGACCCATGCACTTGATATGATAAGGAACCGCGCCAAAAAAATGCATCGGTAATACTGGTAAATATATGCCCCCAGAGTATGTAAAACAGTCAGAACTTTAAATGGAAAGCGTCAGATCGGCTCCACTTCGCTCGACTTTTTGCTTCACACCATCGAGCACACCAGCCGCCTCCTCTTCAAATCGATGTCCAGGATTTTCACCTTGGAATCGAAATTGTGGTGATTGGGGCGCAGATTTCTCGTGTCGAGACAAGTCCGCACTCTCGCGGTTCACAAACACAGAAACCCTACATGCTTCTTCACACGTCTACTGGAATGTGCAGTCGTCTGAAGAACGGAAGTACACGGCTTCAACTCCTGGAGGTCATGCTTAGGATTTAGAGAACTCTGCACACGACAAAGATGTGTGGCGACACGGCAACAAGAAATGTTCCATTAATTCGACCGAACTCCTGCACACATGTATACACACACATACACACATGTTTGTGTATGTAAGCGTATGTGTGTGTATATATATGTATATTTATATGTACAAACATGCATGTATGCATGCATGCATGCATATGCAAATGATGTGCTAAACCTGATGCCAACAGATCAAAGTGACCTGGATTTCCTGGCCGATCTCTACGATCTCCGCCGGATCCTCCACTGGCATGTCCGACATCCTTGAGACATTCACCTGGCCGCTTGCTATACGGATTCCAAAACGGATACTGCAAGGGGTACTGTAAGAAATAAAGGTTCTCTAATGGTCACGACAAGCGTGCTATATGTCCGACATCCGTTCACCTGACCCAAGACGAGGTTAGGCGTAATTGTAGGATTGGGGGCTTAGTGGGTCAGGTTAACGCATGGAGCGTAAGGCAAGCTACCTATAATTCAGTTTGCAGGTGCTGGAACACTATATCCGCATAGTGCCAGCAGATACGCACGAAATTACCATAGGGGCCTGATAATAAGAAAAGGGTCTTTGGGGTGTACGTACCAGAATTAAACTAACGGACCCCCCAACACGTATGTGTAGGCCGATGGTAAAACGAAGGATTCGGGGATAAGTGCCGTGGCTAGGGCAACAAGTATCTAAACGTGTAGCTACGGTAATTACATCCCTACTGACAGTGTGCCCAGATCCGTTAAGTGCAGGTCAGCACGAATGGCTAAACCTCACGGGAGCTCCCCCACGGCAAAGGAAAATCTTCTCTTCTTGGACGAGAACCCCTGCGATTTGTCTTGTCGCAGTGACAAATCAAAGAGTTTGGAGTTTAGGGTTTGATAAAATAGTTGGGCTTAACTAGGGTTGCAACTTCCCTATGTTCCATCCTGACACTGTAGCCTTCCGGTCTGCGGGGTCTCCCCAGAGCAAGTGTGTGCAAGGTGGCTCTCGCGTGTTCTGCGTCGCTGTAATGTAGAAACCTGATTCAGAAACTGGTGGCCCCATCTCCGGCATACAACCCTAAACATTCGGCCCCTAAATTCTAAACCTCACAAAATTTAAACGAACCCGAAGCCTTAAATAACGATATATATATATATATAGTCATTTCTATACTTTAATTTATCTATTTCTCTATATACATATACATATACATATACCTATCTATATATAGTTATATATATAATATATTAATATTAATATATATATATATATATATATATACGGATGTATATATATATATATATATATATATATATTATACATATAATATATATATATGGATGTATATGTATATATATATATATATGTATGTATGTATATATATATATGTACAAAAAGTACAAGGTTGAGGCCATCCTTTTCCTATACACAACACCCGAAGCTCGAAACTCCAAAGCCTTGAACCCCCAAAACTCAGAAGATCCAGAGCCTGCGTTTGAGGGGTTTAGGGGTTTAGGGTTTAGGGGTTTAGGGTTTAGGGGTTTAGGGTTTAGGGGTTTAGGGTTTAGGGTTTAGGGTTCCTAAGCCCTTTTGCTGCAATGCCAAATCCCTCAAGACCCTAGATCGTAAAACCCTGAATCCCCAAACATTCCTAAACCCTGAACCTTCAATACACTAGGCCCTGAACCATAAACCCCTGAAGCCTGAAACCCTAAACCACCTAACTCCTAAATGCCAAACATACTCCACCAGATCCCCTGAAGGAGCCGATCCCTCAAAGGAGCCCCTTCAAGGAACCCTTGGCGCCCCCAAAAGGCTCATAAGCAAAACTTAGCATAGGGATATCCTATATAACCCCCCTTATAATGATGCCCAATAAGGTAGGGATATCCCTATAAACCCCTTATAATGAAGCAACATGAGGTAGGGATATCCCTCTAAGATGCTTATGCTTATGTGCTTTTGGGGTCCCTGATTTAGGAACACACTCCACCAGAACCTGGCCCTCGGCCGTGACGTCTAAGATGCCGGGATGATGGACACGCAGAAATGCCTCACGCAGACCAGGGCTTCATAGGGTTTCTTGAAAGGGATCCTTAAAGGGCTCCATCAGGGATCTATATAAGGGATCTATAGTAGGTTCTAGGGTATAGGGGCCTTAATAACTAGAATAGGGATCCTTTTAAAGGGCTCTATGGCAGCTACTATAAGGGATCTACAAGGGTACTATAATACAGGGGCTTAATAATCAGAATAGGGTTTTGGGGCCCATTATATACAATAAGCATAAATCGTATAGGTAATTACGTAGGCCCCCATATTAGGGCATGCAACTTCGAACCGAGACACGGATCTCAGGATCAGAGGGAACAGATCACAACGGGGATGATCAACAACTAAATAGGCACATTACTTCTAAACTTGAAACCAGGAAATAATAACCTAACTGATTAACGCATTCAAGAACTCATTAATCAGTTCATGAATTCGTGAGATTAAATAAACCAGACATTTCGTTAGTCAGTGAATGAATGAGGAAGGAAGGAATTAATGAACGAATGGATGATTGAAGGAAGGACGGAATGAACGAACGAATGAACGAACGAATGAATCAATGATTGAAGTGCAAGAAATGAATGACATGAAAGGAATGAAGGGAATGACTGGAAAGAACGAAATGAAAGAAATGAGCGAGATCAACGAAATGAAAGAAGGCAGGCAGGAATTAATGAATGCTCTAAACCTTTTGGTTCGCTACTTGCAAGAACGGATAAATTAAGTTAGCTGGGTATGAATGCATAGGAAAGCATGCAAGTAAGTACGTATGGGTGTCAGAATTTATGAACTCTAGATGCATGGATGAGTAGATGGGTGGTATGTGCATGTGCGCATGTGTGTAAGGGCACATGTATGCACATCAGGATTTGTATATATGACTGTATATGTACGTTGCTTTGAGGGCTTAAGCATTAGAAGTCTGGTGTTTAAGGCAAGCGGTAGCTGTCCTGTTTGGGCTCGTCCTTACAGACGTTTCTCTGCAGCACAAAGTTCAGTCGAGACTCGAGACCTTAATTATTCAACAAGTCCGTGACTTTCCGTATTGAGGGGTGTTAGATGTCAAAACCCTAGCATGTCGGGAAAAAGAACTCAGGCGCCATGTGGCCAAGTAGACATATGTATACTTCTTGCAGTGATAGCATGCGGGGCTTGGTGGGGAGAGCGAGTGACGTAGAGATCTGAGACCCAGATTCCAAAGGAGCCAAATACATACAGTAACCAAAAAGCTTTGAACACATGGACGCTGCCAAATTTCTTCCAAAACCGCTGACCCTACCCGACATTGAGGAAGGATCTTTCAGACTCTAAAACCGAACCCCCTAAACCCTTCAACACTTGAACATCAAACCCCTAAAGCTGTCCTCGGAGCGCGTCGTCCGCTCGACGTCGGCTTCAAGCCATGCGTCGCGGGGAACATTATGGAACAGGCCGAGGTTGGCCTGATCGGCCTCGGCTTCTTTCGTTTCGGGCTCTCGGGTTTCGGTTTTGTTCTTAAGGTTTAGGGTTTAGGCTCTCGGGTTTTGGGGTTTCGGCGCTCACACTCGGACAATCCAGGCGAGGCATCTTGTTCGGAGTCTGTTGAGACGTTTCGGGTTTAGGGGTTTGGGTTTGGTATTGTTGGCTGGGGGGGTGGCGGAAATATGATACAAGGGTCATGTAAGCTAGGATAGCCACTCCTAGCTTTCAGGGTCTTACGTTCAGGGCAAAGATGGCTTTGATATGCACCTGAGAAGGCACCCTTACAGGAACCCTGTTTCGATTATCGGGGCCATGCTACATCATGATAACCCGCCTAGCAGCCCTTAAAAACCACCTTTGCTAGTATATACGGTACCCCAACAAGGTTCAAAGGATACCTACTCTACTGCTACAAAAGCAGGAAACCCTTGCCAGTTCTTGCCGGATCCCGCCTGCTTCGAGGGCGTCGCCCGCTGTCGGGGCTTCGTCGGAGCTGCCCTGGCGGAAAGGTTGAGCCGGCGGTTGCGAAGCTCCACCTGCCATTGGAGGTTAACCCATCAAAGGACCCAACAATTAGGTACTCGGTTTTGGATAATAGTTATGTAGGTTAGATTTTGTAGTCTATGATTATTAGCTACTTGGACCCTTGGGGTTAGGAGGGTTCCTTTAAAGGGGAGGTTACCTCGACCATGGTGATTCCTTTTTGTGGTTCATAATTATTGGGAATCCTATAAAGTAATCCCAAAAAGGAATTACTACGGAGCCTATGAGTAGCAGTTTGGAGGTTTAGGAATTCATGTTTAGGGCGTAGGAATTAGTGTTTGAGGTGTAGAGATTAATGTTCGGGCTCGGGGACTTAGTGTTTAGGGTTAGGGATGAGCACTCATTGGTTGATCAAAAGCGTCTTTCGGGCTCGCAGGCCCTGGGGTTCTTTAAAACTTTGAGGGTTCCTATGAAGGTTCCTCCATTTGAGGTTACTTGCCGGGCTACTGAGAAGCATTTATATATAAATCCTAGCGGATTTGTAAAGTTAAGAGCGGGAGAGTGTAGGGCTCAGGGGCGTTGGAGTTTGGGGCTTGGAGGGTTTAAGGCTTGAGCGTGTAAAGCCGAAACCTAAACCCTACATCCTAAAGCCTTAAACCCCTACACCCTAAACCCCTAAACCCTATAAACCATTATAACCCCTATAAACCCTAAACCCGAAACACCCTAAACCCCTATAAACCTTATAAACCCTATAAACCCTAAACCCCTATATAAACCTTATAAACCCTATAAACCCTAAACACCCTAAACCCCTCTAAACCTTATAAACCCTATAAACCCTATAAACCCTAAACCCCTACACCCCAAACCCTGAACTGAGGGCGTCTCCCCGGCCAGCCTGAAGCACTCTGACCTGGATTTCCTGGCCGTCTGCCAGCAGCGCCACTCTTCCTACGGTTCGGGGCCCTCCCAACAGGGCTTCATAGGCTTCCTGTGTAGGGAGTTTTGTATGGAATGTTTATGGCTTCTGGGGTTCATAGTGGGGCTTGCTTACGCTATGAGGCTGCCAGGAGCATGTAGGTTTTGCTTCCGTCAAGTCTTTGCTGTGTGAAGGCTCACCAACGTTTTCCTCGATGTGTGTATTATGCAACGGATGTAGACATTCCTATATGTCCTGAAATTGCCGAAAAATGGGGACAAGGATTTGGGCCCCTACCACTACAACCCCAATTAACAAACCTGAAGGTAGTGCCAACCCTGGAAATTGAGCCCAGTAACTTAAATTCTACAGCCCTTACAAAGTAACGGCTTTTAGGATCAGGCGTCCACGATGCTGTCTTTCTGTACACCGACACAGCCCCTGCCATCTAATAGAACACCCAACACATGGAAGTTTCCAATAGTAGGATCCTTATAAATAGGACACCAAAATAAGGTACCCCTGATTTTCAGAAAACTCACCCTAAACCCTGAAACCGAAAGCGAATCCAGGACGATCTCCAGCTGCCCTTGCTAGAGGCCTTCTACAACTCCGCACACCCCAGTGAACTATCCTCTGAGACCCTATATAAGCCTCTTAGTTCATTCCTTTGTATAGCTCATGATAAACCTTACCAAACCCCTACCCTATTTTGAAAGGGCCTTATACAACAAAAATTAGTTAACCCCTCACCTCTGGAAAGCTTCAAAACGTCTTTTGGAAGGGTACATCTATCCACAATATCCATTACTTAAAACAAAACGCTAAACAATCATTAAAACCCACACCCTTAACCCTAAAACCTTAAAGCCAGTAAGCCCTACACCCCAAAGCTGTAAACCCCTAAACCCCAGACCCTGAACCGCTGAACCCTACACGCTAGACCCTGAAGCCCTGAACCGCCCCTTTTTTGATGACATCCTGCGAGGTCCCTCTCGCGCAGCACGCCGGTGAAGTACCTCACATAAAAAGGATGGTCTTTGCGGACCTAATTCCGTAATAGTAGTGTACATGGACCCTCTGGGAGTAAAGATGAGCAAACCTACAATGAGTTCTCAGCTCAGCTTTGGGTGCCTTTTTTCCCTCCACTGGGCAAGGACGAGGCCCGCATTGCAGGGAAGCCGCGGGTTTGGGGCCTATGCTGAAAGCCTAGCTGCTTTAAGTATAGAGGCAACTCATGGTAAGGAACCCTCCTAGGTGGGCTTTTATAGGTTTCAGAAAGCGTGTAGGAATTTTGGTTTGGGGTGTAAGGTTTGGGCTTTAGGGTGAGGGCTTTCCAACTAGGCCTGATATGGCGCTCTACATGCTGTAAAACGGTTGTGTACGGCCTCTTCAGGAATTCAATGTGTTTGTATCTAGTCTCTGAACCGTCGTATTTGTGTGGACAAGTCGGTGGCTAGGAACCTGCAATTGCAATGAAAAGATAAGGGCAATCGAACAAGGCTCCCCCTCATAGATGCTCCCAAGTCGCTCTAAAAAAAGGAGCCCGAAACGGTACACGGATCCCCTTTTTTTCTGAAACCTCGCATACTTTAAAGAACAAGGGCGTCCCGAATGTGCGACGTGCTAGATCTCCCAAATACCGAGACCCCCCCCCCCGATGCTGCAAAACCCTTGATATGGTGCAACAAAACATTTAATTAAGTGTCACAAACACAGGATCAATCTCAGTCGACCGTTCACAAAGACCACTCTTGCATTGGCACTATGTGCACTCGATTAAGCCATCTACAAAAGATCTATCGCTGCCACTGCATCAATAACTCCAAAGGGCCCTGAGCCCAACACCTACTCCCTTGGTGCAGCTGGGCTATGAGTGGCAATGCACTAAACAATAGACCCTGAGACTTTGCGCGTTGACCCCTGTACAAGCATAGGTTGGCTGACCAAACAAGGGGAACTATTAAGACGCCTCAAGAATCCATGTTCTGACCGGGCCACTTGTCATTCTGGCCTGGAACAGGGACATCCACCAAAGCCTCTTGGGAACACAGGGTTTGGGGCTTGGGGCAAAATAGAAAGCTACCGATGCAGCTAGTTGCTGCCCAAACGACCCAGAGTGATTTGGGGCCTGTTCCTGGGGCCTGTAAAGTGTATCTGCAGGTCATTGTCGGTGACATGTTGTCATGAACAGATGGACATTGTTCCCCGGCCTTCTCTGGCCCAAGAAAACGTCAGAAGATGCTATAGTCGTGGAGTTGAGTCGGGGATCGGGACATTGGTTTGGTGGATCCCGGGACCGGGACTTCGAAGTAGGGTGTCCTCACGGTTTTGGCAAACGAAGGGTCAAATCGGGTTTGGCATTTCCAGGCTGCTGCTTCTTTTCCCTTGACCCCTTGGAGCTCCGTTTAACGGAGGTATGGGACTCTCGTCTGCCTGGCTCGGGAATCGAATTTGACAAAAATTTCGACTGCGACCCCCCAACTCACCCCAAACCTCGAAAGATAAACCCTAAACCACAATACTAGCAGAGTAGCAGAGCCTCAGGGGGCATGTGAATATATATATATATATATATATATATGCATACATATATACATATGTGTGTGTATGTCTAAAAAGATAAACATTTACAACATATCTATATATATATATATATATGGATATATGTGTACATGAACTATGCATTAAAAAAATGCAATATGACATAGAACAAAACAGAACGGAATATGCTAGACCCGACTAAGATCTGATGGAATAGAATAGAACATGATACTATATTACCTTGTAGTATATGGTATACAATATAGCCAGTATGATGTAGCCTGATACGACAAGATATGCATAGTAGTTCCTTTTTGGTTCAACCAACTTTATGTTTGGGGTCCCATGAAGCAGCCCCCAAATGGAACTACAATGGAGGCTTCTTTCGCACCTGGTCTCCAGATTCTAAACCCTAAGGCCCTAAAGCCTAAACCCTAAAACCCTAAACCCTAAATCGCTAAACCCTAAAAGCCCTAAAACCCTAAAACCCTAAAGCCATCCCCAGCCCCCGTCCCCAAAAGCCCGGTCAACGAAACAATGCGAACCTCGCTGGCTTTGCGTGTGTTGACCCGCCCTCTGAGCCTGGCGAAACGATGTTCCCAAAGACTCCAATATCCCTTTACAGGGATGTATATACATATATATATATATCTCTATTAATATTCATATTTATCTATCTATCTATCTATATATATATATAGAGAGAGAGAGAGAGAGAGAGAGAGAGAGAGAGAGAGAGAGAGAGAGGGGGTCCCTTTAAGGGTTCCCGTAAGGTTTTCAAGAGGGTTGAAGGCCGGCTTCGGGCGGCGGGACACAAGGAGTTGGAGTTTACAGGATTTGGACCAGAAGCCCGAACTCGAAAGCTGGCTACAGGTTTTAGGTTCATCTCTGACAAGTCGTTCTAGAAGGGCCCTAGGGCCCTATACCCTAAACTTCCCTAAACCTTCACCTCTCCTATACCGAGAACATGACAAAGGATTGCATAAATGCCAAATACATCATAACCAGATATGTGTATGCATAATTATATATATATATATATATATCCACACTGTGTCATTTATATCTATGTTCGTATCTGTATTGAGAACAAATTTGCTCCCCAGTATGTTCCCCACCCTCAATCCTAAGCCTTAGCCGTTCCTACACAGGGAATGCCATACTCCATGGCTTTCTCAGGGGGCTCGGAGTTCAGGGCGTTGTGCGTTGCTTTGGAAGGCATCTCTAACGTTGTAAGGTTTCAGGGTTTAGGGCTTTCGGGTTTAGCACCTGAAATTGCGGAGACTCCTTGTCAAGCTTGTCCTGCAAAAGCAACCTCACGTACCATCGAAACGATGAAGCCTCACGTGCACTACCGCACTTTAGAGTGGAAGGGCGTGGTTTTACGGCCTTGGGTTTATAGTGTCATCTCCACAAGTTGCCAGCCATGTAAAGCCTAAACACTCAGCTCGTAAAAGCCAACAAATCCGCGTACTGCCTGAAACTTAAAGCAACAGTGGACTTGAAACACCCAGTAGTGGTAAGGTCAGTCACCTGCGGAACTCTGCTAGTTCTACTTGCCCTGTACTCCGACTGCTTCATTCATATTCCTTGCCATAGGGCTTAGGGTTCAGGGCTTAGGGTTTGATGGACACTGTCTCCCGAAGCACATCACGAGGCACACTCGACCGCCTTGTGACATCGTGACATTATAGTGTACAGTGCTCCCGGTGGTGTCAATGCTGACGATGATGGTGATGACATGGCGACCATGACATGGTTGGTCATTGAATAGCAGCATCGCAAGAGAATTTTAAAGTCGAAACCAAAAAGGTTGAGGATGCTGGCGCTGGTGCTGGTACCGTGCTGGTGGTCATGACAATGCCATTGATGGTGATGGCATACTAACTGCTGGTCGAAGAGGCGATGCGTACTGCTGAAAAGAGCGGACGTCATCCTGATGTCGACTTTCACATCATAAGTGTGGCCGATGTGATTATTCTCAACTGCTCTTCCTCTAAATTGTGGATGTAGCATGCCATTTGATATGCAAAACCTGAGCCCTTGGTACCTTGTGAGGTTAAAAGCCCCAATAGGCCGCTCGCATCCTGCATAGCTTTACCTGTCAGACTCGAAATGCCGGAGTATGTGCTACTAGCTATATACACGAGCAAGACGTGATTGCTTTCAACCGATAACTGTAAGTCCCACCCCCTTGAACCCTGAAGCCCGAAATCCTCAGCCATAGAAGCCCTAGGCCCTAAAATTAAAAAAAAAAACGCAAGCCCTAAACCGGGCTCAAGATCGCCCAGCTGGCCACACATCCTCCGGGAGCTGGCGAAAGGCAAGGAGGTCCTCTCGAACCACGGAAGGCGGTCCTGGGCCACTGGCTCAACAGGCCACAACTCTAAGTTCAGGGAGTTCTAATTTGTCGTTCAGGGTTTAGGGTTTCAATTTGTGGCTCAGGGTTCAGGGTCACTGGCTCAACAGGCCAAAAGCCCAATATAGCGGCCTTAATAACTAGATTAGGGCTCCTTAATAATTAAAGGATTCTATCAGAGGGTGTATAGGGGACCTATAGCAGGGTTCTATATAGGCGCTACACCCTACCTGTAGCGGAAAAGGCCCACACTGTTTTGGAACTAATATCTTGAAACCATGACAAGGAACCCTGAAAAGTTTCGGTTACAGGTAATATAGAGGGCCGCAACAATTAGAATAAGGTCTCGCGGTATATTCCCCTAAACCTGACTACACACGGTAGAAGCCCAAATACCACTGGCCTCAATGACCCTTTGCCGTGACCCCCAGCAACATGCCGCGAGGCTTCTGAGGTACTTTGGCAACATGGTCAGGGTGAGACGGCCGTTGCTCTTGACCTACTCGCAGGTGACTGGCTCAGATTTGGCGTTTCAAATCCATTAAGTTCAGGGAGATTAAGGTTGGGATTATGGGGTTCAGTGGAATATGTTAGTTGCCCCTCCTGGCTCTGAACTGAACTGGTCTCTGCCTCGGTTAAACCATGGCGGAGAAGGGCTCATGAAGACTTCAGTCCTTCACATCTGCTGTCACGTTGAGCCCACACCGTACACAGAAGACACACTCTTCGCTGACAAGCCAACAACCCTTTTGTTTCGGGACTCGTGCAATGGCCTGAACGTTTCGTCTGAGCCTAAGCCCCACCCTCTCTCTCTCTCTCTCTCTCTCTCTCTCTCTCCTAAGCCCCACCCTAAACCCTAAAACCCCAAACCCCCCCAACCCTCAAACCCTAAAGGAACCGAAAACCTGGACGACAAGCGGGCGAAGATGCTCACCCGAACCTGGCCCCCTGAAGGCCCAGAACCCTAATCTGCAATGACTTTGAAATAGTCAGAACACGTCCCCCATTATAGTCGGTACCTATATAGAGATAGAGATAGAGATAGAGAGGGAGAGAGAGAGAGAGAGAGTGGGGGGGGGGAGACAGAGAGGGTTGCAGAGAGATGGATAGACGGATGGATAGCTTCGGATAGATAGATGGATAAACAGTTAGGTAGGTCGAGAGATAGATAAATATATATATATATATACAAATATATACACATACCTAAAAATATATGTATACATATATATATATATATATACATATGTATGTATACATACATGCCTAATGTTTACCAGGCCCCAGGTTCCCTCAGAAAGCACCTCCTCCACCCACACGGTGACCTTCTGACCAGGCATGATCTCCTGATGCAGCTTCGAGCTGGCGTCTCCATGGCAGCTTCTTTCTTTAGGGCCTTAAAAGGAAGCCTTAAAGGAATCTTTATAGGGGCTCCTTTACAGAAAAAACATCCACAAAACCCTCAAAGGAAGCCTTCAAGGAACCTAAACCCTAAACTCTATACCCTAAACCCCTAAACCCCTAAATTCCTACACCCTAAACCCCTAAACCCTAAATCCTTAAGGGCGCTAGGGTCTCAGGAGTTTCGGGTTTGGGCTCAGGGGCTTGCCGGTGGTTTTGGGGCATCGGGCTCAGGATGTTCAGGGCTTTAGGCTATAGGGGTTCGCTAAAGGAACAGGTTTAGGGTTTAGGATTTAGGGCTTTGGATTAAGGTTATTTAGGGTTTAGGATTTAGAAGGATTTAGGTGATCTAGGATTTAGGATTTAGACGGATTTAGGCTTTAGGGTTTAGAAACCTGTAAGGGTTTAGGGTTAAGGCTTGCTAAGGTTGTAGGGTTCAGGGCTTATGATTGCTGGGCTCCGGCGTCTTGCGGCAGTGCTTGCGGCAGTGGGGCTTTTATGCTGCAGCTGTCATCGCGAAACATGCGGCGTTTGAGAAAGCTGTAGGTCCCGACACGCTCAGCAAACCTCTAGCACTCTAGCACTTATAGTATGGTTGAATATCAGGGCGTACACCACAGAAAAGGTCAAAGAAGGGTTCCTCAGACCAACCTCAGGTCAGTCCAGTCGACAAGGCATCACGGTTCTGCCCTCGTCTGAGCACAAGGTTGAGCCCTAGACGCCTCTCCAGAACTAAGCAAAGACCCTGAACCCAAAGCCTCGTAGACGTCGGCGACGTACTTCTCCGAAATCAGCTGAATCGGCACCTTTGGCATGCCGGGTTGTGACTTTAGGTTCCGCACCCTTCCTTAACTACAGGGTCATACCCTACCCCTTTTTTTAGGAGCCGCCCTTAGAAGGACACACATCTCCGGTTTGCATCGACGGATCTTTGAGGAAAAGTCGGCTGGCGAAGTTCACCGATCCACGTTCGTCCCCCAGTTTTCGCAGATAACAGGCCTGATATTTGGATGTTCCGATTTTTGCGGGAGGTTCCATGCAACCAAGAAGTGTCCAGTTGAAAGCTCGCCTGGTGCATTCCAGGCTAGGTGGGGCTTTTAAAGCCTTTGAAAAATATTAGTAAATAAGATCCTCTTAAGCCCAATAAAGGAAAATATAAAATGTCCCAAAGCCCTACCTAGCAGGGCACCAAGCCATCGCGCTGGGCGCCGACATCTACGAAGGCGCCGAAGCTCTCGATGGCCCGGACAATGCCCGTCCTGGACTGATTGCAAGATGCTACTACCGACTGCTGCTGCTGCTGCTACTACTACTACTACTAAACTACTACTACTACTACTACTACTACTACTACTACTACTACTACTACTACTACTACTACTACTACTACTACTACTACTACTACTACTACTACTACTACTACTACTACTACTACTACTACTACTACTACTACTACTACTATCTACTACTACTATTACTACTACTACTACTACTACTACTACTACTACTACTACTACTACTACTACTACTACTACTACTACTACTACTACTACTACTACTACTACTACTACTACTACTACTACTACTACTACTACTTACTACGACGACGACTACTTCTACTCCTCAATTCTTGCTTCGTCTTCTGCTGCTACTCTGAAACCACCAACTGAGATGCCCCTGTCAAAGTCGAGGCTCAGTCGCTGTCCTGTGTGTAGCGATGAGACAGGTACCTCGTCAAAAGACGGGGGGGGCGGCCTGGGGGCCTACACCACGGGCACTTCATGCGATGTGCGAAAGCCTGTAAGGGTTTAGGGTTTAGGGGGTTTAGGCTTTAGGCTGCCTTGCGGCAATCCCCCTGTCCATGTATGTGACCTAAAGCCTAAAAGCCCCGAATCCGAAACACTAAGCTGTAGACCCTACACCTCGTGAACACCCTGAACCTGAAACCCGAAGCCCTCAGGCCATATAGACCCTGCACCCCGACCTTACGCCCTGAGCATGGACACCCAAAGTCGGTGGTTTTGGGGCCCAGCATACTATACTTATAGAAGAAGGAACCCTTAAAATGGTATAGGTAAATATTTAGGCCCCTATACTAGAGAATCCTTCTCGTAACCCTAATAGGACTCTTTCTTTAAAGACCCCTTTCAGGGAACCCTATTCTAGTTGTTTAAGACCCTGGGCCCTCCTGAGTCGGTGAGCCACGAGACCCTCTGGCTCTGCACCACACGCACCAGGTTCTTGGCGAGCAGTCCCGCGATCTGACGGTCGACCTGCATCTACTAGAAAAGACAACGTAATATTTACGTGTCTAATGTGTAGATATATATATATATACATACATATGTGTGTGTTTATACATGCACACATACATGTATTCACATGCGTGTCGCTGTCGATGTACACATATGTCTGCACCCATCTTCCACTGTCGGTCTGTTTGTCTCTCTCTCTCTCTCTGTCTCTGTCTCTGGCGCTCTATCTATCTATCTCTCTCCCTCCCTCTCTATGTATGTATGCATGCATATGTACATACCAGGGCAATGGAACAGTGTTGACTCCAGGATGACAAGGAACACGCACGCATGACAGGGCTTGGCTGGTGCTTGACGACCTGGCGAGGCGATCTGAGATGCAGACACCGGTCGAAACTCAGAGAAGCGGCTTAGGGTTTAGGGATTTGGGATGTTTGTTCTAATACAGGGGCCTTAATAATTAGAACAGGGTTTTGCGGCCCATTTTGCCATATCACAATAAGGAGCCCCCAAAACAGCATTGGTAATTATTGAGACCCCTGTACTCTGCCAACCCCTATCAGCACAAGACACACACAAACTCACACACACACAAACACCTAAACCCTAAACTCCTAGACCCCTTTTTGAGCACCCCCTAAACCGTAAACCCCTAAACCCTTCGGCAGCAGCCTCCTCGGAATCCTCCCAGGGCTCTTCCACTTCGCCAGCTTGTCGCCTCGACCTGGTGGCTCCTTGGCTAGCAAACCGCATTTCCCGCCCGCAGCTCTTGGAGCGTGTATATGATTATTAGTATTGCTGGTATTATTACCACTACTCTTACTACTACTACTACTACTACTACTACTACTACTACTACTACTACTACTACTACTACTACTACTACTACTACTACTACTACTACTACTACTATTCCTCCTCCTGCTGCTGCTGCTGTTGCTGCTGCTGCTTTGAGGGATCACCACCCCGCCTTGTTTAGTGGTGTCCCCTCCCCTGCGGAAGTTGTCGCTGAGCCTAAACCCAGCCTTGCTTGTTGCATCCGAAAACAATGAACATGGGAGTTTCTCACCATCGACTTTTTCAGGCCCTGTTGCAGAAAGGTCCCACCGAACTCGTGAATCTGTCTCAGGTCGGAGCCGCACTTGAACCTAAACCCTTCATGCGACATTACAAACCCTGATCCCTAATTTGGTCCCTAACCTTTCAAACCCCATCTGGGTCTACAACGCAGCTCGAAAGGTTCAAGCGTCCAGAGACTTTCCCTGCGATGAACCCGAGCGTCAAGGAGCACCTGAGGCTCTCAAACAGGGACCCAGACCATCGCTTATAACTCGAAACGCTACAGAGAAAAAACCTATAGGACCCTGAAAGCTTTGCGACCCTGAAACCCAGAACGCTACAGAACTCTAAGCTTTTTGACTAAACTTCTTGACGCTAAACTCGACATCCCACAACCCACAAGCCTCTTTCCACGGCTAACTGGCTTATGCCATACTGTAGCCTGCATTGGTTCAGACTTGAATTATGTATGGCGGCTGCACAGCGCTTTTTCGTAGGTTTTGTCGTGGGGTTTAGGGCGTAGGGGTCAGGGTTTCGTGACAAAGAGTTCCAGGGTTTCAGAAGGGCTGTTACTTAGTGGGCTTGGGTCTGTGATATTTTATGTGATGTTCATGGGTCCAGCACGGTGATTGGCTTGTTTCAAGGTACTGGGGTGTGCTGCGAATACCTTTTGGGCAGGCGAAAACTTTGCAGCACCCAAGCCCCCAGCAAGCCGAATCCTCTGAAGTCCTTTCTGCCAGTGTAAACCACCGAAGATATCCTATAGTCCTCGGACCGCAGAAGATACCCTCTACTCTATCCCATACGCCCAAACGCCCACAATACTACATTCCGCAAGCATGAACTGCCCAAGGAGCTACAAACTACACCTCAGGCCCTGAACACACGCACCCCATCTTTACCCCGAGCCCCTCCACCCACATAAACATGCAATAGAAAACGTGAGTCCTAAATCCTCTCAACCCCCGTCTCCAAGACCACAGAACTAGACCCCAGTCTCTAAACTTACGTTTGGTTAGCAGGGAATGGAAGCATGGTAGTAATAGTAGTTATATATACTTGTACCCCATTCCTCCATTCCCTACGAACCGAAGGTAAGTAAACCCCAAGCCTCGCCCCAAGCGCTTAAGCCTACTCTCTAGATGCGAGACTCTCATATCATCCCAAACCTCTAAGCTCGCCTCTGCTAAAGAAACCCAACCCTCTAATCTTCAAAACCGGAAGCCCAACAAACTTATACTTGCTAAGCCGCGGAGACCAATACACTGATGATCCAAAACCCTGAATCCAAAAACCCTAACACCCCGAAGCCTAAACCGTAACACCCAAAACCCTAACACCCCTAAAGCCCCAAACCCAAAACTCTGACACCCCAATGCCCAAACCTTAAACCCTAAACTGTAAAAGCTAGCACCCCCAACCTCCATCCATCTCGGGTTTAGGGGTTTCGGGTTTAAAGTTTATAATAGGGTTTACCCAAAGGCTCCATGTACCCATATGGTAGATACTTAGGCCTTAAAGTGCCTATATAGGGTCCCCTTTAAGGCTTAAGTATCTACTGTACCCCGAACACCACACCTCCGTCTTCTGCTGTCTGATGCCGGCGGCCGGCGCCGCAAGGCAGGCCACAAAGGAAGCCTTGGGCCTCGAAGAGATCGCGGGGGCTATATCTCTTTCTGTCCATGTTTCTATCCGGTTCTAACCATCAATCCATCGACCTATCTATATATCTACCTATGTATATATATATATATATGTGTGTATATGCATATATATATATATATATATGTGTATATATATATATATATATATATCAACACCCAGTTATATAGAGGTATACCTATCTAAGTAAATAAATAAATCTATATATATATATATATACATACAAACACATATACATATGCACAGACATAAACATCGACATATACATGTACATATATATATATATATATATATATGTCTGAGGGTTCCTGTCGACTCAAGGGTAAGGTGCTGTAGCTGCTGTTGGTTTCAGGGTTAAGGGCCATGCACGGTCTTTAGAAGGGTTCCTTGTAAAGCCAAGATCTCGGAGTTTCGGGGGCAGAGCTAGGGTTTGGCGTCTGCGGTTCGGCAGCTCCAGGTCGAGCAAACCTTGAGGAATACTACCGGTTGATGATATAAATCCTGCATTACCCTAATGCCCCTAAACTATGGGGCTTACGGCTTATGGTATATTCCTTATTATGGGTAATGCAGGATTTGCATCATCAACCGTACCCATCCAGAGTTCCCATAACATTGGGAGCTAAAACAAGTTCTCGTGTCATCCCCAGGAGTCCCAGGGCTGAATTCAATATTTTTCAACTCCGTCCGCAATGCTGCGATTCAACAGCTTTACTAACTCCGCACAGTAAAGCAGCAGCATTTGTTTTTGTTTTTGTTCAACATTTCTGCGTTTTTGACATCTTGTTGACGAACCCCGAGGTAGAGGCCTATCTGTTACGGCATCTGTTGGCAAACTCCGAGCCGAACCTGCAGCCCTAAACCCTGTGTCGTTGAAGCCCGTAGCCCTGAACACTAAGCCCTGCAAGTGGTAAACACTATGAACCCCTAAACCCTAAATCCTAAACCCTGTAGTTAGGGGTTACAGGGTTTCTGGGTCCCTTGAATCGAAAGCGATAGCTGCGAAACTCGGGGTCATGGGGCTTGGGGCCTTGGGATTTCGGGTCTTCCATCTAGGCTCTCCTCTCTGCCTTGCCCTGGGGCCGGGTTTAGGGTTTAGGGGTTTAGGGTTTAAGGGTTCAGGGTTGAGGGTTTAGGGGTTTCTTCTGGTGGTCATGAGGGCTCGTGGTGGCGGTTACACCGACATGTGGCTCGGCAACTTGGAGGGAGACGGAGGCTCCTACATTATGGAAATGGAAGTGGTCGTCACTACTTGGAGGATCATGGGATTTAGTAAGTCAGGTTATATAAGCACCTTAAGTGGGCTTACAAGTGCTTATAAGTATAGTTACCTTATTTATAACACCAGTTACTAAGTCCCATGATCCTTTAAGTAACCAATTAACCTTAACCCCTGAACCCCAGAAGCCCTAGAGCCCTGAAGCCGTGAAGCCCACAGACCCCAAAACCTCACTGAAGAGAGATAGCACAGCCTCTTGTCTCCCCAAATATAAGACAGGGGCCTTCACAAGAAGAACAGGGTTTGAGGGGATATATTCTACTATAGTTAAATAATGGCTATTTAGGGCCCGATGGTAACCGACCCAACCCTAGACCCTTTTAAACAGTGTAAGAAGCTTCGACAGCCCGCCGGCACCAGCGGAACAGCCAGGGCCATGGCATCTTCGGGATGTTGGTTCAATAATAAGCGAGAAGATGAAGCTTTGGGGTTAGTGTTGAGGATTTAGGGTTTAGCGTTCAGCGCTTGGGGGTTGTATGGAAAAAGGAAACTAAGGCCTGCGGCTCAGGGTCTCGGATTAGGATTAGGTGTCAAGTCCTTTGAGTTAGGGAGCCGGGGAACGCCAGGTGTTTTTTGGGGTGGGATTAGGTTGGCTTCGGTGTCCAAGGACACTCGACAGACCATTATGCATAGGTAGATGTAGGAAAGCAAGTACATCGGCATGTTCGTTTTGAGGCACACATGTGGGTCTGCAATGATATAAATCCTGCATGACCTATAAACAAGAATATATCATAAATCCCATAGTGTAGAGTCCTTAAGGTAATGCAGGACTTGAATCATCAACAGTATTGCTTCTTCGCCTTCTTGAGCCTTGCAGCGGCAATGTTCCCAACTGTCTCAGCGCATCACACCTCCGCAAGACCTAAGTTCAACGGCTGTATGCATTAAGGCGAGGTCTTTCGAGACCTGCAAATGAAACGCACAACAAAAAACCCAATTTCCAAATGAGCCAGTTCGAAATCCTAAGCCCCAAGATCTCATGCTGCGACCGCAAACGTTGGTGCCGGAAATAACAAAAGAAATAAACGTTGGGCACTGCCCCCACCCTGTAACAGTCTGTATGGGAGGTCACAACATTAAGGGCTGTATATAACTGTCATATAAGCTAGTTCCTTGTTGGGTTAGGATTGAAAATGCATATTTTGTTCCTCATTGGGTTTCAATATCCATAAAAACGTAAAATGCCAGTAAAATGTTACCCAACTATGACACACTTAAGTAGGTTACAGACTGGAGGCAGAACAAAAAAAAACGGCCCAAGGTCGAGGCAGTGAGACTTTGCGAGATGTCCTCAGCCGCCACAGCGGGAGTAAACGTGGCCTGCAAGGGATGCTTACAGGCTACCAAAACCTATCAATGGCCAATTTTTTGTAGGTGTTATTATACACCCTGATATGGAATTTTTAGGGAAGCTACAGATAAGTAGTTCTGGTGGGTTATTATACACCCTGATACGGAACATATAGGGAACCTAAAGGTGGGTTAAGGTACAGTACGGTTACCGCGAGTGTTACAGCCTACCCTGTATGTGTATGCATGTATGTCTGCATGCATCTATATCTGTATCGATAACCAAATCTATATATTTCTCTATCTGTGTGGATAGGAACCCTTAGTATCTAGAATTTTATGCACTTGTAGGGCTTTAGGGTAAAGAATAGGCAGATGTCCATGCCTTCTAATGCCATAGCTTGCCCCGGCCCTCTGGCTGCACGCGGTACTTCTTTTTCGTGGTCCGGTAGCTAAGAAGGAATAGAACCTGAGCAATTGCAGCCTCGAGGCAAGGTGTCAAACAAGAGTGGTTGGTCCTTCCTTTTAAATTTGTCGTTGAGCGAGCCCCAGACAGTTGGCAGATGATTCCGGATAACACCCCTTATACTACACCGAACCTTGAAGGCGTCAGATTACGATCTGTCGGCTGCTATCGTAACAATTCAGCTGTCAAGCAGAGTGTCAATAAACGCCTGAGAACCTCATGCAACCCGCGTCCCCTATTGATGGCCCGTTCGCGACATGCGCATTTAACAGCAAATCAAGGTCCCTTGTTGGGATACAGATCCTAAGCCATCCTGGGCCCCAAACCCTAGAGCCCTAAGAGGTTCTGCATGGGCTTGTGTGTCTGGCGCGCGAGTCTGGGAGGCGAGCTCGTTTTGTCTAGCGCTTTCAGGATTCAATCCTGCAAGGAACCGCTTCAGGAACCCCAATCCTCTAAACTTCCCGCGAACACTAAACATGGAACCCTTCAAGGAACCGCTTAAGGAAGCCTATATATGGTGCCGCGTCGCCGCGTCGCAGGCCCCCCCCCCCCCCCCCCCCCATGGTATGCCCCCCCCCCCGAAGCCAGGCGTCTCGTCCAATCAAACAGTCACACGTCATCCGCGTAACTCCCCCTCTCGCCTTGGCAATCGGGGGTGGGTGTGGGAGGGATAGCCCACAATAGTGGAACCACAAGACGGCGAACCACAGGGGCGGGGTGGGGAAGGATAATCAACACAGGGAACCACCGGGCCCCTTCCCTTCCCCTCTCTTCGAGCACAAATGAGAATGTTGTGCGCAATGATGTTGATGTGCTAGTCCCAGTGTGGCTATTGGTGGTACCTTTGCTCTTATGTTGCTCTGGGCTTCGGCACCGCATGTTCATCGCTTTATCTAGTTGAAAACCGTGCTTGGCTTGTGATGTTCTTGCGAAAACCATATCGACCGTTGTCATTCCAAGCCAAGTTTCGGTTGGGTTCGCTACAAGTTACAAGTAAGCTTGAGCACGTATTTGAATGGTTTTCATTCGGGACTTTTGAGCAAGGGACCTGATGAGAGTGCGGATGGGGATCACGAGCACCAGCTTCGTCATTCTCATCACCACACACCACAGGGAACCACAGGGGGGAAGGGGGGGATACCATGGGGTGGGGGGGGAGGGGGGGCCTAGCAGCGCTGCACCATATATATATATATATATATATATATATATATATATATATATGTATATGTGTGTGTATATATATATATATATATAATCCCCCAAAATCCCCTAAGCCCTTCCATGGCAGTCCGGGCCTCTGCTTGCAAGGACTCCTCCGATCGGAGGATGCCTTCGTCGACGTCGTCTTTGGAGGGTGACCTTGGAGGGTTTGTTTGTCTTTCCCCTCCTACCTTTTGGGGGGGGTTAAGGGTTGAGGGCTTAAGGTTCAGGGTTTTTGGAGTTAAGGTTCTATAGGGTTTAGGAACTCTAAGGTTTTAAGGTGTATTCTTTAGAGTGGCCTTGGAGGGTTTGAGGCTGTAGGGGTTTCGACACTGCGCAGGCACGGCTTCTGCGGGGGCTCGGGGTTCGAGGATGACAGGTTTTCGGGTTAGGGCCCTCATGGCCCAGAGACTCCAATATCCCTTAATTGAGGAATATACCTTAAATCCTTTAAGGGATCCTAACGCTTGTAATGCTTGTAATGCTTGATCCTAACATAATTTCAGGAATATTCCTTAATTAAGGGATATTGGAGTCTCTGGGGGCCCTCCCTTCCTAGGCAATAAGCTTAGTCGGGCTCTGGAATAATCTTATAGTATGACATCTCAGGGGGCAACCGGGGCCCTGCCTTGCCAGGCGATAAGCTTAGTTGGGTTTTGGAGTAATGTTATAGTCTCAGGAGCAAGCACAAAAAACCTATAGGGTTTGGGCAACCCTCAGGCCGTGAGGGTTTCGAAACCCAACAAAACGCCCAAACCGCATCCCAAACCCCAGAACCCCTACGGCTAGCCCCAAAATCAACGCCCTTGAAGACAAGGCACACATGAACCAGACCGGAACATCTAACAAGCCAGCCAAAACCCCAAAGCCCAAGAAGCCTGCTGCCAAGAGCCCAACCTCCTAATATGTACCCATAGGCCCCAAAGAAGTTCCTTTTGGGGGTTCATATGTAGAATCCGTTACGGTAATCCCAGAAAGGAACTAATTATATACTATTGCGCCTATGGGTGCGAACCCTTTTCGGCTAAAGCTTGAACGTAACCCTACCAAACTCAATGCCAAAAATCCACCACCCCCCTCTCTTCTGCCAGCTAAGCCCCTTAGATCCCGTCACAAAACCTCATCAGACAGCAACAAAAACCTTACATAGATCCCCTCTAAAGAAGGAGTCTCTTCAAAAACCTTGCAACTACCCTCACAAAACTTTTAGGGTTTAGGGTACCCTAAACCCTAAACTTTCGCTTCGGAACCAGGGCCGAGAATGCTCCTCCTCCCCGTCCGCACCCAGGAGCAAAGCTCCCCACCTCGGGTTAGGGACTTCCCCTGAAGGCTTCATGTTGGATACTGCCCCCATACACTAACAGTCTATATTAGGGCTACTATTAGAGGCCTCATATATCTGTATTAGGAATACTATCCAACTATTACTGAGTGGGGGCAGTATCCAAGCTCCATGTACCTTTATAGCAGGTACTTAGGCCTCAAAGGGGTCCCTATATAGGCACGTTCACCTTGCTTTAGGGTTTACGGTTCATGCTTGGTTGTCTGCGCCTGTAGGCAAGAGTGGCCTCATGCTTGCATGATGTTATGAAAAAAGGCATGTGATGATAAGTAAGTCAGTAAGTATGGATGCATGTATGTATGTCTGAATGGTATGTATCTGTATGTGTGTTTGTGTCTACGTGTGTATGTGTGCATGCATGCATGCTCGCATGCATGCCTGCGTGCATGTATGTACATGCATGCAGTCATGGATTTATGCATGTGGCCCTCGCTGTGTGCATGTGTTTCTGTATGTATGTATCTATGCAGGATGTATGTAGGCAGCAGGTAGTTGCAGGTATATACGTACGTACATTGGCATGTAGGTATTCAAACATGTAAGCAGGTAAGCATGCTTGCATGCTTGCCATGCACTCATGGCTGCACGGATGTGCGTGTGCGTGTGGGTGTGTCTGTGCGTGTATGTTTCTGTGTGCGTGTGTATATGTGGGTCGCTCCTTGTGTATGTCAGGTCAAGAGCAATACTTGAACACTCGGAGTAACAAAGCGAGGAAGAGATAAAGCGAGAGCGACAGAGAGATGAGGGGACAAAGAGTTTGTCTGTGTGTGTGTTCAAGTCTGTATATGCCTTTGAGAGTGCACAAACCTGAGTGAGTGAATCCGCAAGTCAGTGGAACTACACATCCCGGATCTTCCTGAGTTGCGTGCCCGAGCTCGTCGATGCTTGGAATCAGCTTCCTTGATGTCCGCTTTGACTAGCTACTGCTGTAGTGTTTACTATCGGGCCCTGAGAGGCCCACGTGCCTCCACTATGTACGTTGACCTTACAGGGGTTCCTACTGGTAGGATAGAAGCCGCGTATGTATTCATGTATGTGTAGATACATAAGCGACTACTTATTGATTCAACAAGACATAAGCTAAGCTTCATCATAGCAATCATATGCCACGAGCTTGAACCATAAGCATCAAGCCTGTGTCATCTGGAGAACCGTAAACCCGGAACCACAGCTAGACACTTGCCCCAAACTCCAGTGCAGCACATCCAGCCCGCTTTGACCCAGAAAGTTAATGAACATAAACACACCAGTTTGAACGGCCCCTTGCGGTATAGTATAACAAGACAAACATGAACTGTCTAAGAAAGGCGCAGCTTAGAATCCTAAGCCTTTAGCCCCAAGCCTGTTTTGAACCCAGACTCTACCGATCAGCTGGGCAGCACTGCAAGACCTAAACCACAGTAAACCCTGAACCCGAAACTCTAAAGCTTCAAACTCTCGGCCTCAAATCCCAACCAAAAAACCCTCAAGCATAAAAGCCTTCAATCCTAAAAACGCTCACATCCCGAGCCCTCAAGTCTCGCACCGCTAAATCCTAAACCACTACATACCCAAACCCCTAAACCCCAAAGGGTCCAAGTAATGGTGTAGTATATACTTTAAGGCGCCCAAATGCCTACTATACCATAGAATGGTACTTGGACCCTTTGGGAACCTTGAGCCATCTCCAACGCTCCCGAGGATCGGAATCGGCTCCTCCCCGCGGCGCTTTTTGCGGGGTGCAGAGCCACCTCGGGCTTCAAGTGTAGGGTTTGGCGATTATAGGGTCTGTACGGGCTTGGGGCTTAGGGCGTAGAGTTTAGAGGGCAACTTTAGGGACGGAAGGTTCCTGAGTATTCCCTTTTATGGCAAGGGTACCCTTTTTTCCTACTAGTCGGTTTTCAATAAGGGGACACTGAAATCAAAAGGGCAAAAGGGGACCAGCACGGATCCTAGCTTCAGGTTAGGGTTTGGGATTTTAGGTTCGTTTGGGTTTTTGCGGTATTAGGGCTGGGTTCGAGAGCTTAGAGCTGTTATTTCGGATATATACAACTATAATTTTAACAGGGAGCTTTGAGGACAAATGTTGCTGATCGTTCAGGCTTCTACATTAAGTATCCTATGTCTTCTGCTCAGCTGTAACGGGGAGGGGATGAAGATCAAGATACCTTCAATCACACTTATATTATAACTGAGGCCCACGAGCACAAGTCGTGAAAGCCCCGACAACATCCCCAAGACTCTGAATGCTGTGAACAGTGATACTTCCCTCAAGCCCCAAGCCCAAAAGGATCGACTCGCTAGACCCTGAAGCTTAGACTGCAGGCGTTTAGCTTTCTAGGGCGTGAGGGTTGCGGGCTTTATAGGGTCCATAGAACACAGAGTTTCGGCGCTCACACTCGCACACTCCAGGCGAGGCATCTGGGCTTTTAGGGCTTCGGGTCGTGCTTCATCCGAACTGGTCGTCTTCCCCACTGCCAAGGATCGATTGATTTCCACAAGCAAAGCGAGGGTAAAGATACCGAGGTTCCAGAGAAGCGTGCAAACCTGGCTTTGGGGCTATGGCTTGAAAGGGCGCGGTTTGAAAGGGCGCTGAGCCTTGGGCTCTAAGGGTTTACGTCGGGATCAGTTTTTCGACAACAACTTGGGAACTTGCCGTTTAGTTGTTCGGCTTCGAAGCTCGCAAGACATGCAAAGGTTTGGAGTCAGGGTTGTTCAGTAGGGTTGGCAGACGCATTTCAAGAACTCACTGCCAAGCCAGCTGGGAGTTTCCGAAAATAGGGGACCCTGACATGGTACCCTAATTCGTAGGACCCTGATTATAAGACCCCAAAATTAGGGAACCTCCCCTAATTTTCGGAAACTCCCAGCTCGAAAAGCAAGCTCCAACCATGAACTCAGAACCTGAATCCGAAGCCTCAGCCCCCCAAGTCATCAATCAAATCTCTGAACTGAACCCTAAATAAATCCTAAAACCCAAACCCCTAAACCCTAAACTTCCTAAACCCTAAACCCTAAAGCCTAAACCCTAAAGCCTAAACCCTATAGACCCTAAACCGAAGCCCCGAAGCCCACGACTTTGAGGGTTGATTTCAAAATTCTCACTGCGGCCGCAGGAGCACTTGCCGCTAGCAACTGTTCCTTGGCTGCTGGTAGTTTACACTACACCGTGGGCAACTGCGCGAAGCTGTCGGTTCGGCGGCATTTAGGCTTATATTCGATCCGTGAACTCGCTTTGAATCTGTGGGATTCCGGGATTCGCCTCGCTTGATATATAGAGACTTCAGCGAAATTAATAGTGATATATTCTTAAGCCGGAACATATACCCTAAAACCCAAAACCTTAAAACCTGATTCTTCCAAGTCTAGGGCAAGAGATTTCAGCACGAAAGCCCTCAGTCGCTTTGGATTTGGGTCATTGAATTTCTGGCTGGCGCTTTGGGGCTGCAGTCCCAGACCTTCCGAAACCCCTTAATTAAGGAATATACCTTAAATTATAGTAGGATCCTTAATATGATTTAAGGTATATTCCTTAACTAAGGGATTTTGGAAGGTCTGGGGTGTTCAAGGGCCTGTGGCAGCTTCTGGCTTTAGGGGGCGTTGAGCTTGAGTGGTCGCGATACAAGCTTTCCTGATTTCAACCCCTGGCTTTACTGGATTGGCATAAGACTAGATACTAGTACATATGTCACGCGCCTGAAGGATTTCAATCTCACCCTGTTGAAATCACTCCCACAGCAGCGGGGTTTTGAATCTCACACTTCTCCACCAGCAATAACCAGGACCTCCTTGTAATTACTCTGAAATAGGGGTATATGGCCCCTAATAGTAGGTATTCGGGGTCTAATAGAGGGTGGAAGGAGGGTCTAGGAAGGCTCACAAGGTTCTTTGCGCTTGTGTCACTGCATCGCTTGATCAGGGGTGGCTGGCCGCTGTGCACTCTTTGCAAAGTGCCACTGGTGCTTTGGCCCACTTCTGCTGCCACTGGGATCCGAAGTAGCTGACATACTCGGCCATGGTGTAGATCCTTCCGTCCTCCGCAATTCGCCTTTGTGTTGCCCACCTTGCCTCATGCCAGTAGGACAACCAACCTCCCTTGAAGTAGTCATGGAACTGTGAAACAGAGTACGCCCTGCCATCCCTCGCCACCTTCTGCGCCACTGGGCTTGCCCTCCACTTCGCCATCCAGTTGCTCCCAAAGTAGTCCTTGTAGGGCCCCCCAAAATACGGTAGGGATATCCCCATAAAACGCTTATGCTTATGTGCTGTTTGGGTCCCTAACCTTGAATTCCGAAGCCGTGTAGTACTTACCATCCTCCGCGTAGCGGAAAGCCTGATTGTCGAAGGAGGCCGTGACTGCCTCTGATGGGAGGCCAAAAGGGGGTTTAAGATTCTTCGGGTGGGGATTCCTTAAGATGAACCCTATTATGGGAACGATTAGGGGGGTTTAGGGTTTATGGGAGTTAGGATTAGGGGGACCCTCGGGGATATAGACCCTCTTCATAAGGTCTCTTTAAGAGGGCCAGAAGTAGGGTTCGGAAGGGGTATCCTTTAAGGGGTCTCCCTCGTCATGCTACCCACTGCCTCAGAGACGACCCTCGTCCGCGCGAACTTCTCAGCTTCACAGCCGGCAGCGGCCGCCTCCATTGCGGTGTCTTGAGCCTCCCGATCCGGAAGCCACGTTTTCAAAACCCTGTAAAGATTGCTGAGCTCGGTGGGGGAGGCACCCTGCTCTAGAAGCTCTGCGGCTCGCGCACGGGCCTTCTGCCCACCGAGGTGGCTGCCTGCCAGAACGTGGTACATCGCGTAGAGCTGGTCTGGGTCAAGCTGCTTCGTCGCGTAGGCAAACATCAGCCCAATGGCTTCGTTCCGAGTGTAGGGGATCGCGAACCGGTGGGTGAGCACCGAGTAGAGTTGCTTGAGATACGAAATCGAAGCGCCACAAGTCTCCATGTACCACCACTCCTTCGTTGCCCACGACCTGGCTTCCGAATGGCTCAGCCCCAAGCCCCCCGAGCCACCACCGAGCCAGTTCTCCAGCTCCCACTGTAGATCGCGAGATTCTGAATCCCCGCCCTCTATGGCGAAGATGTCATCGTTATTCCGGTGTGCCGTTGTTGGAAGCACCAACATCAGCACAGCCACCACCAAGGTTGAACGGACCATGGTGGGATCGACGAGTAAGATGCGCTTGGCAAGGAAACAAGAGAGCTATGCCTAAGTAGCATGAGTCGAAATCTGGTCCGGCTTCGGAGCAGTCATGGCGGCAGGAAAGGTCTCTGTCTATGAATCCCGTCCCTTGCATAAAGCCCCAATCCACTCATAGGGCCTGGGGCTTCTCTGACATCAGGATATCCAAAACCCTCTTAACCCAACAGGAACGTAAATCCACGATCCCGCCGCATAGCCCCACAAAACTCCAACTAGCCCAAAGTAGGCACTTCTTGTGTACTTGGAGTCTTGGGGTAGCCGGGACGTGATAGCATGTTCTACCCCCCCATGAAACCTTTGTTTTGAAACTCCCTCCATTTTTTGCAACTATGCTTGGGGACTAGCCACTTGCATGACGGCCTTTCGAAGCTCCCTCAATGAACCCTTTTCTGAGCAGGGACTGCAATGCACCGAGCCCTGAATCACTCCATGCACCCTGAACCCTAAACCCACCCGGAGACGGTCTTGCTCCTTCCGCAAAGCTCTAAGGCCCTGCAACCTGGAACCCTCTCATATTCCAGGACCCCCCCCCCCCCCCTAAGGGCCCTTTAATAGAGCCCTTAGTGGGTATTTAAGCCCCAGCTGATACCGGGCATATCTACTTCGCACCCGAGACCCTCGACCCTAAGCCCTGCCTTTGTTCAGAAACCATAGGGCCAATAGGGTCCAGGTGCCACTACTGTAGGTACTTAGCAGATATATTTGGGTCCGCAAAGTATATACTGCAGTATTACTTGGACCCTTTGCGGAAGAGATGCACCTTTCGCATCTTGCCAGGGGGTTTTGTGTAAGCTGCTGGCTTGATTCTGTAACCGCGCTGCGCTAAACCCATGCCAGGCTGAACCCCCCAAAATCCTCCTGGAACCCATAAGACCGCTGGTCCCGCTGGTAACCCCCCCACCCTATCGGATCGTTACTTAAAGATGGCTTTAAATCCCCAAGCACACCCACACAAGCCTTGAGGAATGAAGCCGGTAGCGCTGATAGAACCCGTCAAGCACCACCCTACCCCTTTAATTAAGGTACCTTAAATTATAAGGGGTTTCATATTATGATTTAAGCTATATTCCTAGCAAATTCAACAACACACCTGGAATATTGCAGAACCCTTAAGGCCCCATCCCCGCGAACCGCAGCCAAGCCTTCTAAAATATCTGTGCTGGCCCCTATAGAAGCGATTAAAGGGAACTCCAGAAAGTTGGAATATGGATTCATGGTAGGATCCACTATAATTTACCTTAAAGGGGTTAGGATAATGATATTCCAACTTTCTGGCTTCTACTGTAAAGGAACTCTCAAACCCCTTAAAGCCGCATCTAGAACTCCGTCAGAGGAGGCCCTCACCCCACGAAAGCCCAAGGCTCCGAGAAGTCCGACAGTTGTGCCGGCCGCATCAACAGGCCCGGACTGCGGACCTTCTTCGAGTTTAGGGCCTTAGGGTTTACGGTTTAGGGCTTAGGGGTTTACGGTTTCGGGGTCAGGGGTTTAGGGTCTCTAGAAGGAGTGTATAGGGTTTTCGTAAGGGTTGATTTCGGTATGGGTTCTGGGAGAGTTTCAGAAGGAGTGCATAAGGCAAAAAAGGTGTATCTGTATGAGCTTTTACAAAAGTGTGGAAACGCTTTCAACGAATTGCTACAGGGTTTACAAGGGGTTTATTCGGGGATTCCTGCATTCGTTTTAAGGCAAAACCCAACCCCAAAGTTCAGTGAACGCAAGCACCGAGTGTGAGCGAGGATTCTTCGAGGCTTACCGCGGAAGCTCGCGGAGTAGAGGATTCTTTTCTTTAGGATCCTATGCATTCTGAGAGTTTAGATTGTAGGATTTTGGATTGGGGTTCGTTGTTTCGGGCACTCGACCCCAGATGTTTTGTGCGGTTTGGGCCTCAGATACCTGGCTCAGCAATTTTAGAGTCTCTGATCTCCTAACTGCAGCCGGAAACCCTGTAACACCGGATCGACCCTCCTGTTCAAAACATGCAAAGCCCCGTACACCTAGACCTAGAGGCTCATACCCTACCCAACTAAAGAACTAGCTACCCTAGAAAACGGTAGGGTGTGAGCTGGGTACTTGGAGTATCATGGGACTTAATAAGTCAGGTTATAGGTACCTTAAGTGGGCTTGTAAGTGGTTATAAGTATAGCTACCTTATTTACAACCCCAGTTACTAAGTCCCACGATCCTTTAACTACCCCTAATTTTCGGAAACTCTAAACCCTAAACCCTTTATAGAACCCTCATAGATCCCTTTAGAGGAACCCTTAAAGGACCCCTTTAAAGATCCTTTGAGTAGAGCCATGAAGTCTTGGCCTCCATGGGCCGTCTGCAAGAACGGCTGGTGGCACTGCGAGGTGCGGCCGTCAAGCCTGTCGCAAGCTTTTGGGGCCTTTGGGCATTGGGATCTACTTTTTTTTTTGTTGAGTTGGGGGGGGGGGGGTGGTGGGGAGTTCTTAATTATAGGGTTTAGGCCCTGCGGCTTTTGGGGTGCAGGGCTGTAAGATGCTGTAAGTAAGGTCTGGTAAGTAAGGTCTGTGGAGCTTAGGGAAGAAGCGTGTAGCAACATGAATGTACCTCATCGTGGCGTCCCGACATCCGATGGGAGGTATGGTAGTGCTTCTATATCAATGTAACTCAACAAAGGAAACTATATAATACACAGCCTTGATGTAGGAGCCACAAACCAATAACTGGGACTCTAAGGTGGACCGTGTAGTCGTGCACCTCTGCAGGAGGATACCCCGACGAACATGCCTGTGTTAAACGGACTGGTCTTGTGTACTCTTGCATGCTCCCACATGAGACTGACTGTTTATGCGCATTAGGTAGTACAGCATGTTCAAAACAATGCATGTTTGCACGGTTTCAGGTCAGGACAGCATCCATCGACAGAAACTGCACCGCGATCATGACAAACGCAGCATGTTCTGAATATGTATGTGTGTATGTATGTATGTATGTATGTATGCATGTATGCATCATGCATGCACGTACATATGTGTGCGTATATATATATACTTATTTATTTATTTATTTACTTATTTATTTGCGCACATGTATGACATATTTGTGCTACCATGCAAACACATATACATGACATACACACTGCAACTCAAGCCTAAACACCCACATCACGCACAGATACACACACACACACACCTATCTCCATCAGTGTGTCTGCTCTGGTTATCATTGAAGCGCTGGAATTCGTAGTCCTTGACGCGTGAGAACAAGAGAATTACATGACCGGGGTGGCTGTAAAAGGAAGTGACCCAGAATTTAAGTCAAAGGTAAGGAAATCGAAGTTTAGAGGAACAGTTTAAACCCACCAGAGCATCCCCCCTGCGCTACGCCATTTTGTAGCTGCCAACCATGAACCTACAAATCTCTGACTGCATCCAGGTGGCCAAGCGTCAGTGCCCTGGGCTGGGCCAGCATCGATGACACATCCCCGGCTCAGCGGGCGGCCACGCTAAGCCCTTCTCAAGACAGGCACTCCCTTGAAGGCTCCATGTACCTATATCGGAGCTACTTAGACCTTAAGGGGGTTCCTATGTAGGTACTTTCAAGCCTAAGTGTAGACTAATAAAGAGTCGGTACATGGAGCCTCAGGCCCGGAAATCAGTTGATTTCCTGCGGATATGGCGCAAAAGAAAGACAAATCTATAGCTGTGCGTCTTTGTGGGTGTTCAAAGGCTAGGGCTCTGGGAGTTCAGCGCATAGGCTGAAAAACCTAGGCATGCAACACCGGTGTTCTAGAACTAAGCAACCTGCAGAAACGAGGCTTTGGATTCGAGTATCGGAGGACCCACTAGATTTAATAAAGGATCCCTCATAATCTGAATATTTGGGGTTTAGGGGTAACTATTCTCTGGTTTTACAAAGGGCCTCTGGCTGAATGCGGTTATCATGTTAGTGAAGCTCCTAGACTGGGGCTTGGAATCCCAGACATGGAACAAAGCCAGGCCCTAGGAACACCCTTCTTTAAAAATGGCTCGGCGGATGGTGCCAACGGTAATTCAAGTTCTCTGTGCTGGCCAAAGAAGAGCAACTGTGCTGGAACCCAAAACATTAAATCCAAAACCCTGAACTCGAACCACAACCCTAAAAGCCCACAACCCTAACCCGGTAAACCCTTTTTGCATCCAGGCCTGTTGCGACTGCCGGGTACCCTGAAGAAGAAAGGAAACTGAGGGCCAGGCAAATCTGCAGCACTGCTGGCTGCAACCCGGTAAACCCTAAGCCCGTAAACCCTAAACCCATAAGCCCTAAACCCTTAACCGCTAAACCATAACTCTAAACTATGTGGCGAGCTGCCTGTCTACAAACTAAGACAGCTGGAACCGCGAAATCGAAGCTAAACGGGCTTAGGGTTTAGGCTTCTGAGGTCTTATGGTGTCTTACGGTACAGTGAAGATTATATTCTTTCGTTGTGCAGTCTCAGAATGTCGTGCTGGCAAGAGTTCAAGCCGCAAGTTTCTCAGAGACTCCAATATCCCTTAATTAAGGAATATTCCTTAAATGAGGGTAGGATCCCTTATATGACGTAAGGAATATTCCTCAATTAAGGGATATTGGAGTCTCTGGGTTCAGAGGAACTGGGGGCTTCGGGACGCGAGGGTTGTAAGGAAAGTGCAGAGGCTTCACACACGACATGACCTTTGTTGCAACCCGAAATGACCGAACTTCTAACGGCAAGCAGTCCTAAATAATCATCAACAGGAACGTGGTCACTGCCAGTCGGTTCGCGCTGATTCGTGAATCTTATCATTAGGCTTCTAACCTCCAAACGCGACAGCAGCATCCCTTTCATCATCTGAGCGAGCTCGGGCGTTTCGAGAGTGCTTAGAAGCGGAGCTTCTTGCGCATGTAGAGCACATCCTTGCAGGCGATGTGGACCCCAGTCTAAATCATGGTCCTTCTTAGAGGCCGCCTCCTCAGAATAAATGCTATAGAAGGGC